GCAACACATTAGTCATGTGTTTGGTGATACTAGTGTTAACAAATCTGCTCTGCCAGTCGTATAAGTATGCCACATAAAATTAGTTCTGCATAGTACTTACTAATAAATGACTATGTTGCTGGTTTATGTACAGTTGACCCCTGAATGCAGGCATTAGGGGTGCCAACCTCCCACACAGTCGAAAATCCACATATAACTACAGTTAGCCCCCCACACATGCAAATTCCCAACTGCGGAGCTGGCCCTTGAACAACTTGGGTTTGAACTACACAGTCAATTGAAAAATACCTGCTTATAAGTGGACCTGCTCAGTTCAAGGGTCAACTGTATTTACTGTACTGTGCTGCTTATTTTTGAGCGTTCTCTACTTATAAAAAATAAAGCTGCTCTAAAACAGTATGCATGTTGCGCCTCCAGCAGCATGATACATCTAGTTTGTTGCATTTCTTAATGGTATCATTTTCTCTTGTGCTTGCGCTTGATTTGACCTCGTGTTATTTTATTCATTGGCCCCTAAGTGTGCAGAATCCACTGCTAATGTTGCCAGTAAGAGGACAAGCGATTAAGAATTACGAAGGTGGAAAATCAGTGGTGGTTACTGCTCACCAGTCAGGCATGTCCCATTCCACCATAGCTACGATTTTTTTTTTTTTTTTTAATATATCTTCATTGATTTTAGAGAGAAGAAGGGAGAGATAGAAACATCAATGATGAGAGAGTCATTGATCGGCTGCCTCCTGCAAGCCCCCAACTGGGGATTGAGCCCACAACCTGGGCATGTGCCCTGACCGGGAATCAAACTGCAATCTCTTGGATCTTAGGCCCATGCTCCACCGCTGAGCCATGTCAGCCAGGCCACTACACAGTCAATCGTGAAGAAAGAGAACAAAGTGATGGAAACTGTTAAAGGATCTGCTTCATCAAAGGCAATGAGACTAAGAAAAATTCGAGAAGGACCTTTATCAGACAAGGAGAAGCTTCTAATAACCTAGACTGAAGACCAGACACAGAAGTGTATCCCTTTCAGCACCATGATGATTATGGACAAAGTGAAAATTTTGTGATGTTGGGGGGGAAAAGGCTGGACCCGACTACAGTGTTGACTTTACTGCTCTGGGTGGTGTAAACGATTCAGGAATTGTTATCCCTTCTGTGACATGAAAGTGAATAGGGAGTCTGTGAGTGCTGATGTGAAAGCAGCTGAGGAGTTTTTTGAAACTCAGATAAGCTGACTGTGGAGGGAAATTGCTTGCCAGAACAAATATTCAGTATGGCTAAAACCTCTCTATTCTGGAAATGGATCCCTAAAAGAATTCTTATCCATAAGGAAGCCAAGTCAATGCCAGGTTTGAAGGCTTTTAAGGACAAGATAACAGTCTTGCTTGACTGCAGTGTTGCAGGTTGCGTATTGAAACCCTTTGTCATCTGGCATATTGAGAACCCCAGGGCCTCCAAGCATATCAGTAAGCACACACTGCCAGCATACTACAGGAGCAGTAAGAGATCATGGGTGAGCCAGCTTCTCTTCCAAGATGCCCTTTTGAACTGCTGTGCCAGAGAAATGGGGAAGTACTGTCTGGAGAATAAAATACTTTTCAAGACTTTGCTTATTGTCGATAATGCTCACACGCAGCCTCCTCCTGGGTGATCACCCCAATGTCAGGTGGTGTTTCTTCCTCCAACACCATCTCTTTGATCCAACCATTGCATCAAGGAGTTACAGCAGTGTTTAAGGCCTTCTGCCTGAGGAGGACCTTTGCCCAGGCTATTGCTGCAACTGAGGAAGACAGCAATTCTGGAAGGATTACATCTATCACTGCATCGAGAACCTTGCTTGGGGGGGAGGGGTGATGCCACGAAGGAGTATATGAATGGCATATGTAAGAAGACACTCGAGATTCACTTGTAAGCTAAAGGCTTTGCCAAGTATGAGGCTGCAAAAATTCCACGAGGCTGTGGTTGAGGTGGCACACAGCTTCACCTTGGTGCAGGTGAGGGTGACCTTGATAGAGATGGTTCTGGGGACTGACTGGGGTTACGGGAACTGGTACATGAATGTACAGCTGAAGAAGAGGCAAGAGAAAAGAAAACTGCAGAAGAAAAAGAAGAGATAAAATTCTTAAGAAAATTCACAGTGAAGGGTTTAGCAGAAGCTTTTGCAGACCTCAACAAGATCTTTTAAAAATTTGAAAACAGCCCGGCTGGGCATGGCTCAGTGGTTGAGCATCGACCTAGGATCCAGGAGATCACGGTTAGATTCCTGGTTAGAGCACATGCCCAGGTTGCGGGCTCGATCCCCAGTCGGAGGCAGGAGGCAGCCAATCAATGACTCTCATCATTGATGTTTCTATCTCCCTCTCTCTTCCTCTCTCTGAAATCAATATTTAAAAAAAAAATTGAAAACAGACCCAACACTAAAAGGCTTTCATTAATAGAGAGAAATGTTCATGGTACATTATCTACTTACAAGCAAATCTATGATTTTTTTAAAAAACAAGCAAACCACCGTGGCCATATTTCTGAAAAGAGTGACACCTGCTCAAGAAGAGCCTCAGGTAGGTCTTTCAGGGGATATTCCAGAAGAAAGCATTGTTATCATAGGAGACGAGGGCCCCACGCATGTTACTGCCCCTGAAGAGCTTCCAGTGGGACAAGATGTGGAGGTAGAAGACAGTAGGTGATATTGATGATCCTGACCCGTGTAGAACTAGGCTAATATGTGTCTTTTTTTTTTAACAAAGTTTAAAAGGTAAAAATTTAAAAATAGGAAAAAGCTTATAGAATTAGGATATAAAGAAAATATTTTTATACAGCTGTACAGTATGTTTTAAACTGTTATTACNTAGGATATAAAGAAAATATTTTTATACAGCTGTACAGTATGTTTTAAACTAAGTGTTATTAAAGAAGAATCAAAAAGTTACAAAACTGTAATGTTTATATAGTAAAAAAAAGTTATAGTAAGCTTTACAATGTTTATAAAGTCTACAGTTGTGTAGGGTAATATCCTAGGCCTTGGCATTTACTCACCTTTTTCTCACTGACTCACCCAGAGCAACTACTGGTCTGCAAGTTTCACTCATGGTAAGTGCCCCATACAGGTGAACCATTGTCTTTCATACAGTATTTTTACCTTTTCTATGTTTAGATATGTTTTAATAGACAAATACCATTGTTACAGTATTGAGTACAGTAACATGTCTACAGATTTGTAGCCTAGAGGCAATAGGCTATGTTCTTTGTTGGATGTATGTTTTGTATATATTTTCTCCCAATCTATAGCTTGAAATCCTATTTATAAACTTTTGATAAAAGTACTTCTATGTACCTTCAGAAAATTTTGTGTAATTTAAATATCAAGTCTTTAAAACCATGAGGATGGGTTATCTATTTAGTTTTTTAATTTGTTGGTAATATTTTGCAGTTTTCAGTGTATGTATCTTATACATCATGTCAGGTTTGTCCCTGTCCAGTTTCTTAATGCTGTTGTAAATGGTATTTTTTTAAATTTCAAATTCCAGTAGTTCATTGTTAGCTTGTAGAAAGATGATTTATTGATCTTGCATGCTGAGACCTAGTTAAGTTCATTTTTAGTTCTATGCTTTTTTGTATATTCCTTAGCATTGCCTACAGACAGTTATGGCATCTGTAAATAAAGACTTGACTTCTTTCTATCCAGTCTTGATGCCTTTTTTTTTTCTTTTCTTGCCTACAAACACTGGCTAGAACCTCTACCATGATGTTGAGTAGAAGTGATGAAACCTATATCCTTGTTTTTTGCGAAACTTCCCCTACAGGCTGTTTTCTTCCTACCTCTACAACGTCCATTGTTCTAAATCATGTTTAGAGTGTTCATATGGGTTGGAAGGAACAGTATCTAGGAGTTGACTACTCCACTTTAGAGCTAGGATTGTGTTTTAGACTAAAGATTGTTGTGGCCAAGAGTGAGTTTGTCATCTGTGATCTATGTATGGAGTGACCTATAATATAGTCTGTGTGGAGATCATTTGAAATGAATATGTTAACATACTGTTGCAGGATAAGTTATAATATAGGGTAGATGCTGGCTTTAAATAAATTTTAAAAAAACCTTTATAAGAAAACAGGTAGGCCTACCACCAAACACTCCCATGTTCTTACTCATAATCTAACAAAGTTTCATTTTCTCAACATGCTCTTCATAAGTATTGGTGGCTTCAAGAAAAGGGATAATCTTTGGTTTGAAACTGCCATCTTTTGACATAATCTTCTATCCCATTAAATGAAATGTTTGTGTTCAGAATGATCTATTTTGCAAATTGTTACATATCTCCTGAGTCAGGTACCTACTTCCTGATACTTTAAGTCAGCATATAAATAAGAGAAAGTAAAACGCCTTGGCCAGTGTGGTTCGGTTGGGCATCGTCCGGTGCACCAAAGGGTTACTGGTTCAGTTCATGCTCAGGGCATAAGCCCAGTTTGCCAGCTCAGTCCCCAATGGGGGGCATGCAGGAGCAGCACATTGATGTTCCAGTCTCACATCAGTCTTCCTCCCCTCCCTTGCTCTCTCTAAAAATCAATAAAAATATTTTAAAATAATACGAGTAAAGAGGAAGTAAGTATTGAAGAATACATTTTGGCAAAGGGGGAAACTTACAAAGCCTATCTTAAACTGTGGAACTTAGTAGGGTATATGTTATGTGAATTGTGCAAGCAGATGAGTTAAAGGAGGCATTTAGTTATTTACAGTAATTTGAGGAATTATGGTAACTGACAAAACACGTAGTTTCCTAAATGGTGAGGAGGCGCTGTCTTCCTTCAAGCTACTAAAATCTACGGGCAGTACCATGGCCTTAAGACTTCATGGTGATGCCCTTAGAAGATAATGCCTGCTAGACAAGAACATTGAAAAACAATTCAGTTGCTTGAAAGCTTGGTGTAAGGGTGGGAGTGTTTGTTGTTGGCAGTGCTGGGTGGGAGCACTTTATTGCTGACATGCTGTTTAATTTTATATCCTTCAGATACTTGGGTTTGAACGTCATTCTAGAATCCATCTACCCTGAAAATGCCACCAGCAGTTGGAGGTCCAGTTGGATACACCCCCCCAGATGGAGGCTGGGGGTGGGCAGTGGTAGTTGGGGCTTTCATTTCCATCGGCTTCTCTTATGCGTTTCCCAAGTCTATTACTGTGTTCTTCAAAGAAATTGAAGTTATATTCAACGCTACCACCAGTGAAGTGTCGTGGATATCCTCCATCATGTTGGCTGTCATGTATGCTGGAGGTAAGTACCCACTAAGGCCTGCTGTTTTAATGTTCATTAACCAGCCAGAGGCTCTGTATTAGGTCACTTTTTTAAGTGTCTCATTCAGTGAGGTGTTTTGAAATGTTATTTCTTGAAGCTTTACGTTTAGTCACATTTTTCATTCTCATTGGCAGTGACAACCTTTGCTCTGTTTTCCCCTATAGTAGTCTGAAACAGAAATGAGGACTTGTGATTTGCTCCCACTTAGTATCATTGAGCTTTAAAAAGCTCTCAGAAAAATGACACATGCACAACTGATTTTTCTTACTGTTCTCTGCTGGACTCCAGATGTAAACTAAGATTTTTAAAAACTGTTGTTGGGAGAATTAAAGTAAATCAGGCTAACCTGAATAGCTAATTCAGATAAAAGCTTTTCATGGTGTTAGAATTAAAGAAATGAATAAAATCTCCCCCTTGTTCCTTGTGATATTATCAGTCCTAAAAGCATTTCAGTTGCACCTTAAACTTACATTTTACCATTTTTCCCCCTTCTGTCTTTGACACATGAAGGAAGTGTGGAGAGTAAGTTAGTGCTTACTTAATAACATTATTTAAAATACTGTTTGTTTCACTTTGGAACACCAAATCACAACTTAACATGTAGAAGTCAAAACCTAACATAGTACTTAAAATAACATAATTGCTTAGCGGAGATTCTAAAGCCACATGTATTTATTTACTGGGATTGACAGTGTCTCATGTTGCTTATTTAGGCAAGCTTTCGATTCTGGTAATCTTATTTTTGGTAGGGATATTTCTTCCATTGGGGATTTTTTTTTTTTTTTTTTTTT